GTGTTGTTTTACCATTATTTTAAAGTGCATTCTTTCTTCTTATAAAATGGCATGCCAGGGCTGGTGAGATCGTTCAGTGGAGTAAGTGCTGCTTAGGCAAACGCAGAGGCCAGGGTTCAGTCCCTGGCACATGCCGGAAGGGCCCTGCCCCCGGGTGTGCAGAGCCAGCCACAGAGACCTGGTGCGGTGGCCCAGGCCTATAACCCCAGCGCTGTGGAGGCTGAAAACAGGAGGATCACTATGAGTCCAAGCTGAGTGGTGAGACCCTGTTCCAAATACGTTTAAAAAAATGAAAAAAAGGCATGCCATGTTACACGGACAGCAGCTTCGGACATCTTGCATTTGCTGCGTGTCTTGATTGCATTGTAAGGACTCGCTGAGTGAGCGCTGTACTCTCCTGCACTCTAGGAGGCTGAGGCAGGAGGATCACGAGTTTGAACCCAGCTTGTACAACAGCGACTTAGACCTTATCTCAAAGAAAAAAAAAGAGGGAGTAGGGACGTAGCTCAGTGCTAAGACCCTGGGTTACTTCCTAAAAGAAAAAAAAAGAAGGAAAAAGGCTATACCAAGTGACTGGCTGAGTGCCAGACTTGCTTTACCTGCATTTGTGCAAGTTCCCTACGGGAGGTCCCCACAAGGCTGGTGTGGTCCAGTGATTTCCTCCTCAGAGCATATCCCTGTTGTCAAGCCATGAATGGCTGTAGCTGATAAATCTTGAAGTGAGGGGAAAATGGCCATTGTGAGTTGCATGAAATTCCACAGTGAATCTGTGAGGAGGAGAATGCACCCTCCAGGAGCAGGCAGATCTCTGCAGAAAGCCAACCTCTTTCTAAGAGTCCTTCAGGTGGGCATGGGTGCCTGTGAGCTCTCCAGGGAAGGCACAGCCAGGGCAGAATGGGTCCTGAGGCTCAGACAGGATCTAAGACCAAGGCTTTCTCCTGGTTTTGGTAAATGTGGGCCTTTCTGTGGCCATGAGCAGGGGCAGTGACTTGGCCCTTAGCTGAGCAGGGAGCTGTCTTGGCCCAGAGTGGCCAAGTAGCCCAAGTCCCTGGAGGCACCCCAGGAAAAGCCCTTCTTCCACCTGCCCCTTCTAGGAAAGAGCCAGAGCACCCAGAAGCAAAAGGGATAGCGTGTCTGCTTTGCCTCCCTGACAGTTCTCCCTTCCTTCCTGTTGCTTCTTGGTCAGTTAGGGTCAGAAAGCCCCTTTCCTCGGGGCCAGCTCTAACTGGATCAGAATATTAGTGAGAAGAGAAGACTTTCCAAGAACATTTGGAAAGACCCCCTTCCCCCAAGTCCCGGTCCGAGAACAGAGGACAAGGAGGGTGGGACAGTGGCGGTAGCTGGACAAGGCTCCTTCCTGTGTCTCACTTTCCCCACCAGGAGCCGGATGTCCAGGAATTTGGGAAAGTTCATCTAGGAGAACACTTGCAGTTGTCGGCAGCTCTGACCAGCCCGTCCTTCCCAGGCCCTGCTCTTCAGGCTGCCCTGGAGTCAGACATCGCCCATATGCACTGTGCTTTATCTGTGACTCAAACACCACTGTTAGGGCTGAGGCCTGAGATGATATCTGTTTTGCTGAGGCCATCAGAAAAGGTTAGGACCACGCAGGCTTGGCCTCTGGCTGTCTGCGGTCCCTGCTGGGCTCATCTGATGCTCGGAAGGAAGTCGTGCACTTAGGGGCCATGGAAGAACTTGTTCACCAGCCTGGCCCTTTCCTATTAATTTTCCCTTGTCCCTCCACGCTGCCCTCTATCTGCTGTCTCCTACTGCCACTCCCTGCACCATAGTCCTGCAAGAACTCTCGAGTGTCACATGAAGCCAGCCTCCTCTAGGCCTGGCAGGGTCCATGGCTGTGAGCAGTTGGTAGGCTTTTTCTTTTAAAGATAAGTTGGGGAGAGAGGGAGAGGGTTAGCAAGCCCTGGGAAGCTGTGCCTGTTTCTTCTTCATTTTTCTTTCCCCCTCTGGGGCTGAGAAACCAGGTCTCTCTGTTTCTGTCTCTGTCTCTCTCTCTCTATGTCTCTCTGTCTCTGTCTCTCTCCCTCTCTTCTTTTTTTTTTTTTTTTACAGTACATTTTTGCAGGCCCCATCTTTTTTTTTTCTAACAGAAAAAAAAAATAACAGGCATATTTTGGGCGATTACTCAACTGGGGTCCTTTGTGACAGGATATGCTGCTGTGTGACTAATGGAGATGGCTTTCTCCTGGCTTCCTTCCCCTTTCAGAGCTCTTGTTTACTGCCCTATGCAAAAAAAAAAAAAAAAAAAGCCCTAAGTAACAGATTTTTATACATTAAAAAAAAAAAATAAAAAAAAAAAAAAAAAAGCCTTGTGAGATACTCAAAGGCAATAAATCCTTTGGATATTCCATTTCCAGGGGCTGCAAACTCCCCACCCTCCCTCCGCTTTTAAATGCTGGAGCTCTTGGCTCACGCCATGTGCATCTTCTCTCCCACCCCCACGGCCCTGCTTTCTTCCGAACATATGTCCAACAGATCGTGCGCACGCAGGGTGGGGTCGGGGAGAGAGTGAGGGGCAGGGGAAGCGAGCAGGCTGGGGCTGTATTTATGGTGCTTAACTCAGCAATTGCTAAAGGAAGAAATAATGACTTCCAGGGGCTCAGGGCCTTTTTTCCAGGGCCTTTGTGTTTCCAGAGTCTATGACAGTTTCATGGTGTAAGCAAAAGTTATTAGAAAACATGGAACTAGCTTAATGAGTAAGGATATGTTCTAAACAGGGAGGAACTGTCTGTCTCTTTAGAGAGGAAAATCCAAATTTGGCTTGCTCTGCAGTTCTGAATCCCTGGGCTTCCCAGAGAACTTTTGGAAGAGATTGTCTCTCATTTATAGTGCCTGAGAAGTAGAACTGGCCTTCCTGTTTTTCTAGAGATCAAATGACTTTTAATTTCCAAAGGCCTGGAGCTTGTGGGTGGGAAAATGAGCTGGCTAGTTGAGTTTAATAGAGACAGACTAGTGCGGACGAAGCTCAGGGTTGGTGGCCAGATGATGGGTTTGAGAATCAGTTATGAATTGAATAGAAGGAGCCACTTAATGCCGTAGGCCTTGGTGGCTCAGATACTGTCCCTGCCCTCCAGGTTGCTGGGAAGCAGAGTCAAAGGACAGAAGCATAGGCGTTGCAGGAGCTGTAGAGCAGTCTGTAGAGATCTCGTCCTTTCGAGGCTTCTCCATCCATGGGACTGGTTCAAGGGAGGAGACAAACTCAGTACCTGAGAGCCACAGCACCCAGTGAGAAAGACCCATGAGTCATGTTGTCTCACGGGCACTGAGAAGGCTGGCATGGTCTCAGCTCTGTTTACTCCCTTAGTGTTGCCCAGGCAGACCTCAAGGTCATAGCTGACCACAGTCTTTCCCTACTCAGGAAAAACGCCATTCTGAACTGTGCTGGTGAAAGGCACCCCTTACCCCATCTTGCCTGCCTTTTCTTCTGCATGAAAAAAAAGATTTTATTTATTTATTTTTTGTGTATTTGGCACAGGGTCTCACTACGCAGCTCAGACTTGTAGTGATCCTCCTGTTTCCAGCCTCCCCAGCACTGGGATTACAGGCGTCTGCCACCACACTGGGTCTCAGTGGCCGGCTCAATGCAGCTGGGAGAGGGGCTGGCGAGGTATGTGGGGATTGAACCCTGATCTCTGCGCTTGCCTAAGCAGGCACTTTGTCCGCTGAGCTATCTTGCTGGCCCTGCATGACTCATCTTGTGCACACACACTTCGTGCCTTAGAGTGAAAATGGGCCACAGTGACTTAGCCATTCCCCAGGCATTGTCATAGGGGAGACAATGAGGTGCTCGGAGCACCTCTTTCCTCCTATTCCACATTAAAGCTGCCCATAGCCATTTTCTATGCACTTCCACCTGGGCACTCCTGCAGTCTCCACTGATGAAGAACACCTTAGGCGGGCATGCCAAGCCCTACAGTAAGCTTTAGCCATTATCTCTCACTCCCCATAGGTGCAAAGGCTCTTGACAAAGGGACTTGGAAGGATTTCACCAGCGGGCAAACTGAGGCACCAGCCATGGAGCTAAATGGCCAGAGTCAGTAACATGGACAGAAATAGCAACCCCAAACCCCATTCCAGTTTGCCTGGAGTTTTAGGAGGCGTCTCAACTTGGATATCCCAGAATAGCTTCTCCCAGGCTGACTGACTGTGAAGTGATGTGTTGTAAGGGTTATTTTTTGCTTTGGCTTAACTCTTAAAACAACACCCCAAACTCCTAAACTCAGCCTAAGAAAATCCATTTCTCATAATGCCATCCTCTTGCCAAGTTTAAACCTAGTAGATGACATCATGGATGCCCTCAGGCCCCACCCTCGGCTCACTCCCACTCGTGCTGGTGCTCAGGTGTCAGACTTGCGTTCAGAAATCACAGCTGATTGAAGGAAACCGATCGTTAAGTCAGTCCGTCAGACTAAGGCCCTTGACACTGCTTATTTGGGGAAGCTGAGCATGGATGAACGTGTTTTCTTGATCCAGGTGGACTTGGACTGGCAGCAGCCACTGAATGAACGGTGTGGCCTTTGGGTGGCACAAGGCCATCGGGGTTGGGGGAAGGAGGGTCAGGGGAGTGGGTTTGTTTCAGGTGCCTCATGAAAGTTGATTGTTAGGTTTTTAGGAATTTTGTAAACACGACCATTATTAAAAAGGAAATGATATAAACGTATAGCTACTTAAGCTTATGTCTACCACATGCAGATATAGACATTGCAGTACTCTCTGTTAGCATACACTGTGAACCCTGCCCAATTCCACACACAGGCAGGTCAAATTGGTGGTTTTATTTTAATTAATTAATTAATTAATTAAATCTTTTTGAGACAGGGTCTTGCAGTTCAGGCTGCCCTTGAGCTCAGTTTGTAGCCCAGACTGGCCTCAAGCTCGCAATGATCCTCCTGCCTCAGCCTCCCAAGTGCTGGGATTACAGGCATGTGCCAACGCACCCTGCCATATTGGGGGTTTTTAAATCAACCAAGGCACAAATATTTATGTCACAGAAATCAGCAGACCAGACTCTCAGGGCTTGTTTTGTTTTGCGGATCATCTAGACTTAAGATGATGATAGAGAAAGTAGTAATAAAGTACATGAAGTCTCAGTTGGTGATGGGTCTATAGCAGTGACATTGTGAATAGCACAAAGTATTGAGATAAGATTTTTCTAGTTTTCAGAAACTTCAATTTGCAAAGAAGTGCTCACGCCATGGAAAAATTGATGGCGTTCTAAAATACAGTCATGCATAGATTACTGATGGGGATGCACTCTAAGAAAGGTGCTGTGGGGGCTGGTGAGATGGCTCAGTGGTCTAAAGCACCTACTTAGAACAAGCTTAGCAAAGCACAGGGACCGCGGTTCAATCCCCCAGCACCACATGCCAGCCAGCCCTGCCCCCTGGTGGGCTGAGCTGGCCACACACACACACACACACACACACACAAATAAAATTAAAAAAAAAAAAAAGAAAGGCGCTGTTACACGATTTCATCATGTGCGAACAGCATAGAGTGAACTTAAACTAAAGTGACTGCGCAGTCACTAAGTGATACAATCTTTTCTATATTATTAACTTATTTTATTATATAGAAACAAATACAGATAGATTAAGTAATTTACATAGCATCATAAAGCTAAGTAGTTTGCAAAACCTGGATATGAACCTAGGAATATCAGATTGAGTTTTGTAATACTACAACTGAAATCCTAAGTCTTTGTATGACAACTTCTAAGTTGATATAAGGCAAAAGGAGAAATACAAAAAATATTTAACAGAATAGAAAGCAGAAAGAGAAACATAATAATAGTAGACGATTGGGAAAAATAAGATGTCTGAAACTCTCTTGATCATTGTAATAAGTGTAAATGGACTAGATTCCCCAGGTAAAATAGAACACACAATTTTATGGGATCATGGTCACATGTATGGTCCACTATGGGCCAAATCATTGATATGCAGCGCCTAACTAGACGTTTTTGTTGTTTTGCTTTTCTCTTATTCCTTTATTGAAAATGAAATTGTCAACTAATATTCATATCTGGTCTATAGCTGGAAAGCACACTACTGAAAAAGAGTATTAGGATCACTCCCTTGGTGGTCCAGAAGGAGGGTCACTATGGAATGTCTACAGCTCAGTAGGAAGGAGCATGCCTGAGGGATAGTCACAAAGAGGAGATACTAATGGTTGGGACAAAGTCAACACAGAAAATAGGACTGACAGCCCGCTGCAGAGACTTCCAGAAGAAGCTTGCTTTGCCTAACTGAGCACACCCATAGAGCACGCAAAATCACTCTTAAATTCAAGGATAGGGTTAGTACCGCACATTCATACCACCTTTAAATTAGCCTTTCCTCTAGGGAAACTCATGCACTCACCAGAACAGAACTGCAAGGCCATCACTTTCTGAAACTGGAAGCAGAGAACTGATCAAGACATAGCTGGAGGGGCCGGGGAGATAGCTCAGTGGAATAAGCACTTGCCTGGCAAGCTCAAGGACTGGAGTTCAATCCCCAGTTCCTCAAAAAAAAAAAAAAAAAAAAAAAGGGGGGGGGCTGCTTCCACAAAGCTGTCAGCCTCAGGTTGCTGTAGTTCGATCCCCACAACACTCCAGCCAGCCAAACCACCCCTGAGGGCATTCAGAGAAAAAAAAAAAAACCTTAAAAAAAGGGGCTGGTAAGATGGCTCAGTGGTCTAAAGCACCTTCTTGGAACAAGCTTAGCAAAGCACATGGACCGCGGTTCAATTCCCCAGCACCACATGCCAGCCAGCCCCGCCCCCTGGTGGGCTGAGCTGGCCACACACACACACACACACACACACACACACACACAATAAATTTAAAAAAAAAAAAAAAGACAAGACACAGCTGGAGGAGGGAGGAAAAGCCAGATGAATTGATGAACTTTTTCTTCTGTGTGTGCAGGAGGCATCCTGCCAGCTTGGCAGGGGCACTGCACAGGGGCTTTGTAGCAGTAACACTGGCTCAAGAGGACCTGCCTAAGGCTTTGGGGCTGTGACTATCACAGGCTTAGCTGGCCCTAGACACTGCTAGAGTGTCACCAGCACTTTTGTATGTGCATGGTATCCAACCCAGACTTCTCCCCTGGTGCAAAACAATCACTAATGCCCCGAGCATGAAGGAAATGGAAAGGGGAGGGCGACGAGCCATGCCTTTAACCCCAGCACTCTGGGAAGCTGAGGCAAGAGGATGAGGAATTTGAACCCAACCTGGGCAACTTAGAGATTTAATAAGACTCTCAAAATAAAATGTTAAAAAGAAAAAAGGCTGGGATGTCACTCAGTGCAAAGGCGCTGAGTTCAATCCCAAGTTCTATTAAAAAAAAAAAGTCAGTATGGACTCTCAAGGTGGACAGTTGTGTTCCACAGTCCCTGGTGGGTCTGATGTCACTTTCAGGGAGGGGAGAGGGCTGCGTGCTTACAAGCTGGAGCACCTATCTCGATGCTATTTCTACATGATTGGACATATTATTCATACTCGTGTGTGGAGATGTGGCCTTAGTGAGAAGGGCGGATGGCAAGCCAAAGGGGTCTTTTTGGAACGGTGATAATTTATGACTTCCATCTTTTTCTTCTGGCTCATAGATGTTTTCTGATTTTTCTTTACAACTAATACATGTTACAATGGAAATTAAGAGACAGTGTTGATGGTTTCTTGTATTTTATGAACATTTTAGTTAAATATATTCACATATAAGCATAGATGAAGGAATCATACTCCTCTTATGTATGTATACAATGTCACACAAATCATATATGTATACACAACATATTAGAATATATATGACTATTCATAGAGAAATGCTGAAAGGAAATACAATAAAATATTATCAATAGTTTTCTAATAGTGTTTTTCTGTATTTTCCAAGTTTTTTGCATTGAGCATTTATTTTTGTAATGAGGAGAAAAAACTATGCGTGTATATGAGCTTGCACATATTTGTGCACTCATGTATATAGGTGCATACGTATGTTCATGTGTACTTCATTCTGTGTGCTTTCTTTTTATTAAGGTTTCAAAAATTTATTGATTCAATAGTACTGATCACAGAAAAAAAAGTAAGATTCCTGATTAAGTATATTCCACTGTCCAGGCAATGGTTATTTTTAAAACTTGACTCAGTACGGTCTTGACCATGATTAAAAGAAGACATCGTCTCGTGACCTCCCAGAGGGTAAATTGTTGCAGCTCAGCTGCAGCTCCTTACAGTTCTAGCTGGGTCCTCCTCCAGTGTCTCCTCTTGGGATTGTACCTGATTTTAAAACCTGTCTTCATCTGAATCCACTGAGGAGGGGGGTCATTCTGCTTTTGCTTCTTGGCCAGGAATTGTTTGATTCTGAAAGTCTTGTGCGAAGACAAAGTAAGGGTAGGAGGCAGAGCACGCACTCGATGGCGGGCTGAAGCAGGAGAGTCCTGTGTACTTTCTTTGCTGAAAGTATTCTCTCTCTCTCTCTCTCTCTCTCTCTCTCTCTCTCTCTTTCTCTCTCTCTCTCCCTCCCTCCCCCTCTCTCTCTCTTTGAGACAGGATCTTGCTATGCAGTTCAGATAGGCCTTGAACTTGCCATGTAGCCCAAGCTGGCTTTGAACTCATAGTAACCCTCCTGTCTCAGCCTCCTGAGTGATGGGATTACAGATGTGCACCACCACACATGGTGAAAACAAGTATTTTCAAATTATAGTTCATTACTTTCACTTGTTTCCCTTGTACAGCTCAGCTGCCTGTTTTTCTTAACATGAATACAGGCACAACTTTTTCCCTGCATTGACGGCTTCTGAAATCTGGACTCAGGGCCTGACTGTCACTGCAGGCTTGGTGCTTACGCAAGCTCGGCCTGGCCTGGCTAGGACATGACACTGCTGGGCAGCTCAGAAGGGCAAGCCATGAATGAACATCTAGAGGTGTTTACACACAGCAAACCAAAACCACCCAGGAGAGAATGTTCTGGACTTAATCCCCTCTCCCAGGGAACATGCCTTGTATGTGCTGCCTGTCACTGGGACGAGTGGGAGATCAATCAGGGGCACCCTCCGCAGTGCAGTGCATGAGCAAGTTAAGGAACCAAGTGCCCTAAATGGGAGTGTGAAGCTGCGTCCTGGCTGTCAGGGCCCCGGACAATGACCGTGATGACCTCATGGTTATTTTCCATCCTGCCTGATCTATGGGACTTCCCTGACACTTGGGTAATGTTTGCAATTTGTTCTTTGGCTTGTATTTTCTAGATGGTACTGAAGGAAAACAGTGATTTCCCCCTTTTTTTTCTGGGCCATATAAATAACAAAGTTTTACTTTCCGACCCTGTCTAACTCGCCTCAGTCATAATTATCCAACATGAAGAAGGGCTTAGGAGAAAGAAAGTTCTTTAGTGGTGTGTTTGGCTCGTCAGAACCTCAGAGTTAAGGTGGGTACCCCTCTGGATGGAATGGGACTCACTGTTCCTACTCCATCTCTGCTGTCCGTGGTCTTCTGAGAAGGCAGATGGGCCTCTGTCTCTGCAAGAGTTTGCAATTCTCTGGTGGAAGTTTTGGTGTCATGGCTCATGTCATCTGGAGGCTCCCAAACTTTTTCCACTCATCAGAAATCACTCTTCCACAAAACAATTTTTAAATCTTCCCTAGCATGAGTAAAGATTGAGAAACAATAGAGGATTCGTGGTTTTGTCCAAATGACATGGAAAGTTCCAGGGGCTCCAGGAGGGAAGGATGGGGAAGAGAATAAAAACAGAACATCAGGGTCTCAGGATATCCAGCTTAAAATATTAGCCTCTGGGATTCACTTAGTCAATAAATACCATTCTCATCACCTGGAGTTGTAAAGTTAACATTGTTTAGCTCCTCCGACTTTGCATTTATGGTCTTATTGGATTGGAAGACATTGTTCAGCCAATCACCACCTCCCCTGGGCCTCTGTTTGATTCTAGGACTAACAGGGAATTGCCCAGAAAGGAAAACTTGCTGTACCACTGCCCCCAAGAAGGGACCATCTGTGTCCACTCAGTGTCAAACATTTCTCTAGTTCTTCCTCACTATCCATCTTTTTGGTCATTTAAATTCCTTTCTGGACAACCAATAAGTATTGCTGAAGACCCTAGAATGTTAAAAAAGCTCTAGAAATGCAGTTATCACATATAAAGAATTCTGGGACAAGGCTAGGGAAGCAGAGATTCATTAGCGAGACCAAGAACAATACATCTGAAACAAAGACCATACAAGACAGTTTCCAACAAATAACAGAACTATACAGATTTGACAAAAGGGTGATGAATGGGGAAAGAAGCCATGTAGACTCCAGGTCCCCAGAAGTTTGCGGGGGAGAGGAAGAATTTAAAGGGAGGAGAGGATTGAAGCAGACCTCTCAGAGGATGGGCCAAATAGGTATTGTGGGCAGAGGGAAGGAATAGATCAAGGACAAAGAATAAAGATAAAGCAGGACACAGAGTGTGTTTTTGGATTTGTTCAGGGTACAATCTTGTGGAGGAAAGGCAGTGAGGTGTGTGTGTGAGAGGGATAGCACTACATTATAGGGCGGGGGGTGGAAAGGGGTTTTAAAGTTGCCTTGTTACTGTATGTTCTCATGTGCTATTTTCTTAATAAAGATGTGTTGCCAGCAAAGGTTTGTCCAAAAACCTGGCATTTGCCTTGGGCCTCTTCCCTCTGTTTCGTTTCCTTCCTCTCACTCACCCACCAAGTGTAAATTGTGTAGCGAATTGGCCAGCCCATCTTGGGTGGTTTGTCAAGTTATGGTAAGCAGCGCAGGCTGGCTGTCCTTTGGCAGGGAATTTCATTTTGCCAACAGATCTGGGCTTGGAAGGGGATGGATCCAGTGTTCGGGCTGCGTCTCCCAGACCATCATCTTGGGAGGGCCAGTGGCAGACGCTTGGAGCTGGCTGGTATTGGCGTGCAATCTGGTGGCCACAGAAGAAACCCTTGTCCTTGGAGGGTCTGAAAGCCCATAGACACCTGCTTGGCTTGGCTCGCCGTGGCCGGCAGTGCTTCCAGCAGAGATGAGCAGGAGATGCAAGGGTGGTTGAGAGCTGGCAGCGATGGAGAAGAAAGGCTCTTAAGGGCCAAAGTGAGATATTTATGATCCCCCTATCTATAAATGCCTTAGATCATGTTGCTGGTGAACATAATCAAATGTTGGCACCATTGCCTGAAGCCCTTCAGTGGAAGATAAGGGTAGAGTAAAGGTGACAGAAGGGGTGGTTGGGGGTGGCCAATGGCCAGGGAGCAAAGATGGACCCTACGATGAGACAAAGGACTTGAGAGGTCAGGGTGAGCAGAGAAAAGCCATCACTGGGGTTAGAAAGGGGCTGGGGGCACCAGGGATGGGAGCCATGGAGCATTTCTCTGGCCCTGGCTGTGTCAGTACTCCTGGCCTGCTGCCCTGAGTATGGAGTCATGGGACCAAGAACCAAGCAAAGTCCAGGTGAAAAGGACTTTGCAGCAGCGACGCCCCAGAAAGGAAGCCTTGCTCCCACCAGCAGAGCCGTAGCGGGGTGCCCAGCTGCTCCTCCCAGCCTCGTAACCATGACGTTCTACTCAAACACTGTCCATCTGTCCAGCCATCCCGCCAAGCCCTGAGCCCCATGCTGATTTCCCTTGGAAGAGCCCCAGTTCCCAGGGTGACCTCAGCACCAGTGGGGCCCATGGACGGCTCCAGTCCCAAACTTCCTGTCACTAGGAAGGGTCTGCCTGGCCCATGGAAGTTATAATAACACAGTCGCTGTTTCTGGGCGAGCGCCCTCAACACAGTTACTGGATGGCTTTCTTTGCAGCGTGTCTAATCTTTTCTGGCTGCCTTTCTGAGCATTGGGCTCCCAATCTATTTTGGTCCTTCTCTTCTTTGACTCATTCTGGGACTTCTATGCTGTAAATCTGAGCCAACCCTCCACCCTCACCCCCAGTGCCTGATCCCACCAGCAGGCAGACAATTCAAAATTAGCTGTGGTCATGGTTGTCCAAACTGACAAGCAGGGAAACTGAGGCACAGCAGGCCACGGGACCTTGTCCCACCTCCCACAGTGACCCAGCAGCACAGCTGCCAGCAGGGCCCAGGGTTCTGGCTGGGACTTTAACTTTGGAGCTTTCTGGGAAGGCTGGAGCCATGTGAACTGTTTCAAAGCTTTGACTGGGCCCCACTTGGCCACAAATCTCAGAGCTGTGTGGCAAATGGGATTGTGAGGGGAATGCAGTGAGGGTGGGAAGTGTGTGTGTGTGTGTGTGTGTGTGTGTGTTTGCACGCACACTTTGTGTGTGGGTGGTGGGTTTGGTGGTGGTGTTTGAGACCCTCCCATGCCTGGAATTTGACAAACAGAAGAAAGAAAGACCAGAAAGCCCAAAATAATGAGGGAAAGAGAAGACAGATTTTTCAAAGCCACGGTGCAAGCTGTGAGCAAAACGTTCTCAGCCAGAACCCCATCCTGGCCCAGCAGGCTGGCTGCTTGGGCTGCGTTAGCCAGTCCACGGCCACTGCCAAGGCTGGACTCCTGCTCCCACAGCCTCCTGCAACCCCAGGCCTCTGGGGGTGCAGCCTCTGAGCTCTGGAGAGGGGCGTGGGGGAGGCGGGGGCCAGTGCGAGTTTCAGACGCTTTCTAGGTGCCTCAAGGGACCTGCATATTTCCTATGTATAGTTCCGTCTGTTTGTAATTAGACTTCTCTTCTTTGCGTATTTCCGGAGAGATTAAAAATAGTGAAATCAGCTTAATCTGGGGCTCTCTGAGATCAGCAAGGCCACTGTTTCCATCAGCGTGAAAGTCCTGAGCAGTCTCATCCAGAGCAATGGGTCATGCCGCCCCGCAGGCCCTGCAGGCTTTCTGCAGCAGGGACCTGAAGTGGTACGTGCCCCCAACAGATCAGACTCTTGCTTCTGATTCCAGCAATCTTAGCTTCTTTTCAACTTCAACCAGAAGAGAAGGGATCCAGTGCTGTTTCGGGCCCGAAACTTTCTCTGTCTTTCCTTCCAAATAAGCTTGGGTCACAGGCCCTGTTAGCCCATAACAGCACCCTGCCCTTGAAGCTGGAGTTTTCTCTGAGGGTGTTCTTTAGGGCTTGGAGATGAGGACCAGGTCAAAGGCCCTGATGATGTCTGCTTGTGCTTAGAGATAGGGAAAGGGACAGGGACAGGGACGGGACAGGGACAGGGGCAGGACAGGACGGGGCAGAAGCAGAGACAGAGACAGAGACAGGCATGATAGGGTGGGGGTGGGAGGAGAGAGAGAGAAAAAGAGAGAGAGAGAGAGAGATCTTATTGGTTTTATTTCTCTGGGGAACTTAGACTAATACACTAGGAGTAGGGAGAAAAACATTATATTACAGTTATTCCACAATTAATAGACATTTTTATTTATTCGTAAGGAAAAAGAATGAACTATTTTTTGTTGTTTGGTTTTATTTGAGA